TTGGCAGGTCATGCAGTGGTGTTGAGGGTCGCCGTACAGAAAGACATTGGACAGTTTTGCTTTCATTTTTACAAAGTTCACCAGTAGCAATAAGGCATTTATCATCTTTTCTGTCTCACATATTGCAGGTTGGAATGCCGCACGTGGCTGTCGCTATCGCACATACAAGAACGAAGCAAATATTTGCTTCTATAATAAGAGCATTACTATTATTACTATTTGAACTACTGTGTTCTTTGTGGCTTGAAGGAATGCTATACCGTTGACATGACAAACTCGACTTTGTTCGGGTCGAGTTTCTTTCACGTTCGTCAACCCTACCAAATTGCTGTTGTTTAAGAGAAAAAGACGGTTGTGCTGGAATTGCGAGCAGCGCGCTGGCAAGAAATCGGTTAGCATCGCTCCAGGGCGGCACCTCGTCTGGGCCAGGTGTCGCGTCTGGGCCAGGTGTCGCGGACGGTATGCATTTGCCTATTACTAGGAGGAGGCGATTTCCACGATGGTGTTGTATTTTGGAAATCTGTTTGCATGATTTTGAAGGGTTTATAATTCTGTAATATTGCAGTGCATTCGGTCCTGCAGGCGGGCCGTATTCTTGCAGTTCTGTGACGCGGCCTGTGGTCAAACATGAAGCACCCAAGCATGCCAGATGTAGCAAATTTGCATTGGATTTGAGGTCTACATAATCCTGGGTAATGTTAAAATTATTTTGGTGCAACGGCCAACGTCTTTTTATGAAATGCGTTCGGACTGCGGGAAGTTGCGAGGCCCGCAGCTGGAACTTTGTGGAACGCGAGCATGAAAACAAGATATTGTTGTTACAAAGGCACTGCAATTTCGCTCTGTGACTCGACCAACGGTATTCGCACACGTGCGTGTGCGTGTGCGTGTGCAGCCGTGTGCCAGAGCGCGAGTAGGGCCCCTCACGTTCGACCTGCTCCTTATACCCATGACACCTCCCACACAACGTCTTGTGGGACGTGCTCACGATCATCACCATACATCCGTATGTCAAAAAACTTACTGCTGGTAGCAAATGCTCAACGGAAACCCAGCACCGTACATCTGTGGTGACACAGCACCCCAACTCAAAGCGAAGCAAGGAAGAACATAGTATTGTGTAACACAGCAAAGCCAAACGTTTTGGACAGCATATTTGTACGGAGATGTTTTCTGGTCCGTTGCATCTGCTATGCAAGAGAGCGCCTGCAAAACATGCCGCACATGCGGAGCACACAAGGCCACAACAAAATGGAAAGGGCAAAAGGCTTGAACCTGAATGCTAACTCGTGGAGCAATACGCAATCGGAAAAGCAGCACTGTCCTGTCCCACATGGTATGCGCCGCGTATCAACGAGCACTACAACATGGCATGCCCGTGCACCGGGGCTGACCATTATTCCCATCTGGAATTGGACACACACGTTGTCTCACGCTTCAAACCTCACCCAACCCCTGGAAAACGTCTCCACAGCTACATATGCCACGCCACTTCCCAGCAACATCCCACTCCTGAACATTGCTAGCTGTCAGTACTTCCAGGCCCCCTGCATCCCTTCCCCAGCCGCCTCAGCATGATCACCATCCACCCACGCACCCTCTGCCTCCCTATCCACCTCCTCGTCCCCTTCCTCATCCTCACCCTTCTACACCTCCTCGTACCCTTCCTCATCCTCATCCTTCTACACCTCCTCGTCCCCTTCCTCCTCCTCATCCCCTTCTACACCTCCTCGTCCCCTTCCTCATCCTCGCCAGTCTCCAGTTCGCAAAGCCCAAATGCTCGCAACCTGGTTCACTGCATGCGACAACACCGCCATCTTGCCAGCGCACTTGTTCTGCGATGCATGCGTCAGACAACGGGTTCGTGCGTAGGAGTCCATAAATACATTAAAATCGCAATGCCACTGTTGTGTAAATCTTACTTGGCAAGCCTGCCAGGGGCCGCCCAGTTGAGGTCGTCTGCTGAGACGTGGCAGGGTAAGCTTGTCTGGAGGGTCCTGCTACACCGCCGCGATTTGAAGTGGCA